TATACTATATGTCATATATTGATGATGTTTTTACCGTCTTCTCCTGGAGGCCCTTGAGGTCCTGGAGGTCCTGGTGGTCCATCAGGTCCGGGAACTTCGTTAAGTTTTCCGGGCACTCCTCGAGCTCCGGGCTGACCTGGCTGGCCTGGCTCCCCTGCTGGCCCTACCGGTCCTACAGGTCCCGGAGGTCCTCGATTCCCACTGACTCCATCATTTCCAGGAGCACCTGGACCACCACGAGGCCCTTTAGGTCCAGGCCTGCCAGGAGGCCCTGCAGGAGCTTCCGCACAGTCAAAGCACCATTCCTAAATACGTTGCCATGTATTTGAAGACAGATATATTTGAATACATATCGCGTACCGGTTCTTTTTGTGGTATTGGAGGCGGCGCGTCAGGCCCATCTCTTCCGGGTAGTCCTGCAGGTCCATCTTCCCCTTCCATTCCATCTGGTCCAGGGAGACCGGGTGGGCCTTGTGGACTTACACCGCAACCACAGCAGACCCCAAATGGACTTGCGGATTCTACAGCTGCTGCATTAGGGCCGTAGCCTGCTTGCCGAGTAGCCCGAGATGACAGTGCGTTTTGGGATGGATAAACTTGAGCAAGAACCTAAACGACATCTTTACATTACTCCAGAGCAGAACACTGACAAATCAACCTGCGTCCGCGTAACTTCCTTCCAAATGTTCCCAGTACGCATTTTACAAAAATTAATCTCGCTTTGCATGATTGTGTGCATGTGTTGCATGTAGTTGTACAGCATCGGTACCGATACAATACACACCAACGTGGCCATTGTTGAGATGGCGACGCCGAAGAAAGCCGTTCTAGATTGAATAATTACACGAACTTCCCTTTTCTTGCGTTATCCCCCTCTTTTCGTTCTCTAAAGTCTGCTCGACTAGGAATTAGCTACGTTCAACCTTAACTATCAAAGACATTTTCATTGCGCAGCAGCCGGGGCAGCACAAAAGGCCAAAAGACTAAGTTTTGAATTACCGCCGTAATCCATTGGCTTCCCTTTCCATGTCGAGCAGCGACTGTTTGTCACCCATTCTAAAGAATGCAGTAAGGTTATAACAACAATGAATTTGGGAATTTAAGAAACTTCCATAGATTTACGGAAGGAAGTAAGGAGTCATTCTTCAAATTAAGTATTGCTGTGAATGAAATGTGAAAGAGATTGTATCAAATACTCACAGGACAAGTAACGGTTTTTTTTTTATCAAA